TCGATGAATTGGATATTAAATATTTGTTGGCAATGAAGATTCTATGAAATTATTTCCTATAATATGCGGATAATTTTTCTTAATCCTTTGATACAGAGCTATCTCATGGAACTCTATCTATGAGATACTCAGATAGAAACAATTTTTCTAATATCTGAATATTGTCATGAGATAGGAAAAATTAGGTTTAATTAAAATTACGTAAAATTAAATATCCACATAATCGTAAAGAATATAGTAGTTATAGAAATAGTAACCATACAGTGTTTCAACTAAAGTTATTATATATTATATATTATCGGATATTTATAGTAAGTGCCTACTTTAACGATTTTTATTGCTATTTTCACCAATTCTCATAAATAGGATTTTAGAATGAATAACATAAACATAAACATAAATAAATAATTACTAAGTGAAATTTAACATCGATTTCTATCGATTTTTATCTATTTCATATATATCGATGACTTCCAAAAATATTTTCTGAAAAATCGGATTCGATTCCAAATGACTAAAATAGGCATTAATTTATATGCTTGGGAATCATTCTTACCATTGGAATAGAATCTTTTTGCATCTAATGAATCTATATACTTTTTCTCTTTCACATTAATATTTTACTATTTATAATTTTATTGTTTAAAATTTTTCAGTTGTGGAAATTGTCCCTTTGGATACATAGGTAATGGTAAGCATTGTGAGCTTAAGAATGTTTGTGAACCTAATCCATGTTATTCGGAAGTACAATGTGATTTGATTTCTGAACCACCATTTTATAGGTAATAAAATAAAACATTAAATTAAATTATTTTATAGTATAAAAAAAATTTTTGATTAAATATAATGATTTCCAGATGTGGTGTTTGTCCAAATGGATTCGCTGGTAATGGCTCTGTATGTATTGACATAAACGAATGTGAATTAGCACAACCATGCTCTTTAGGGGTACAATGTACCAATCTTCGTCCAGGATTCAGATGCGATCCTTGTCCACCAGGATATACTGGTACAATGATCGAAGGAGTTGGCTTAGAGATTGCAATGAGTCGCAAACAAATTTGTCAAGATATAAACGAATGCGAAAATAACAATGGAGGTTGTGATCCATACATGGAATGTATTAATACAGAGGTAATATAATTTATACATTTATGTATAAATAACATAATTTTTTGATAAAAAAATAGTATGTTTCATATATTTACTTAAAATAAATAAATTAATTAATTAAATCCCATCTTTTTTTGCTATTTTAGGGTTCATATAGATGTGGTGCATGTAGGGCGGGTTTCATTGGAAATCAAACAGTGGGTTGCCATCCTAGTCACAGCATTTGTCCAGATTTAATAACCCGTTGCGATGTAAACGCTGAATGCATTTGCATAGATACTAATGTATATTCATGCAGAGTAAGAAAATTATTAATATTATTTATTATTTATATATTATTTAATATTGTTTTAATTATGTCAAAGATGTTATAGATGATTAAAACATAAAAATATAATTCTAGTGTCGTGTAGGATGGACTGGAGATGGTCTAATTTGTGGCGTAGATAGAGATAATGATGGAATTCCTGATAGGAATCTTCATTGTCGTGATCGGCATTGTCGTATGGATAATTGTCCATTAACACCAAACAGCGGACAAGAAGACGCAGATAGAGATGGCATAGGCGATGCATGTGATCCGGACGCTGATGATGATGGTGTTTTAAATTCTTCAGATAATTGTCCTTTCATTTCAAATCCTGGTCAAGAAGATAGTGATAATGATGGTCCTGATTTAGTAGGAGATATTTGCGACAATTGTCCTCGAGTAAGAAATCCGAAGCAGGAGGATACTGATGATGATGGCATTGGCGATGCTTGTGATCCTGATATCGATAATGATGGTAAGATTTTAAAAAATAATATAAAGATTTTCTTTTTATTTTAAATAATATTTGTATATAAAAATTGAAAAATTAAAGTGTTATTTGATATACATTTCATAAATTAAATAAAAACAAAGAATGATATAATTTTGCAGGTATTCTGAATAATCAGGATAATTGTCAAAAAATAAAAAATCTAAATCAAAATGATATAGATGAAGATGGAATAGGCGACGCATGCGATAATTGTCCTTACAGGTACAATCCGAATCAATTGGATCAAGATGGCGATGGAGTAGGTGATGATTGTGATAATGATAATGATAGAGATAGAGATGGAGTACAAGATGATAGAGATAATTGTCCTGATGTGGCAAATTCAGGACAAAATGACGATGATCATGATGGTATAGGAAACGAATGCGATAATGATATGGATAATGATGGTGTACCGAATTCAAATGATAATTGTCCTTATGTATATAATCCAGATCAACGTCATACACATAGTAAGTACAAGAACATCATTGAATCGTGTTGTTTGAATGTATGAATTTGAAAGTTTGAAAAATAAAATACCATTGTTAATCATTATCAGTTTATGTATAAAAAGAATTTATTTGCAGATAATTTTATCGGAGATGCTTGTTGGCATGATTATGATAACGATACCGTGAAAAATATACATGATAATTGTCCTAACAATAGTTTGATTTGGGCAACAGATTTCAGGAAATATACTACAATTGCTTTAGATCCATTTGGTACAGCTCAAGAAGATCCTGTCTGGGTAATACACAATGATGGTGCAGAAATTCAACAGCTTGTGAATAGTGATCCTGGAATTGCCATTGGTAATATATTAATATTTATATACATTTTTTTAAATATTAAAATAATAATTTACAATATTCATTTTTAAAAAATTTGAAATTATTATCATGGGTTTACAAGATTTATCTATATTTAAATTATTTTAAATATTTAATAACTACTCAAATGCAAATTTAAATACTTCAAAAAATTCCGAAATCTTTCATTTTGTAACTTTTAATTCTTATTTGCAACAGGACCGGACATTTTTAGTGGCGTAGATTTCGAGGGTACATTTTTTGTTGACGATGATGGAGACGATGACTTTGTTGGTTTCGTATTCTCTTACCAAGATAATCGTAGGTTCTACATTGTAGCCTGGAAAAAAGCTCATCAGCCATATTGGGTCCCAACACCATTCAGAGCAGTAGGTGATCCAGGAATATACTTAAAACTTGTCGATTCAGATACTGGTCCCGGTGAAATTCTTAGAAATAGTCTCTGGCATAATGAGAATACAATAAATCAAGTAAAAATTCTTTGGCATGATCCAAAAAAAATTGGCTGGAAAGAAAGAACGTCATATAGGTGGCAGTTATTACACAGACCTAAAATAGGTCTGATCAGGTTCCGACTTTATCAAGGAAAACAACTAATGGCAGATTCAGGAAACGTTTATGATTCGACTTTGAAAGGAGGAAAATTAGGTGTTTATTGTTTTTCTCAAGAAAAGATTACTTGGTCGAATTTGTTATATGTGTGTAAAGGTAAGAAAAAAAAAGTGATGTCTTGATCTATATTCGGATTGGAATTTTGTTTCACAATTTTTATTTAAATTATATTTAAATTCATAATAATTAAAGTAATATTTTATTATCTTCATGTTTAATGTGATAATTAACACAAAAATAATTAATTAATAAATGTAGCAAAAACATTCATTATTCTAAAAAAAAATTTTTTTTATCTTTATAAAATATTTTTTAACTTTTATAATATTTTTCAGAAACTGTTCCTTTATCAGTATGGAATGATTTGCCATTGAATTTGAAAAAAGAAATAAATGTGGATATAAATAATGAAATAAAATCTCAATACAGTCAAAAATCTATCTATTACGACTCACATTAAATTTTCAAATTTTATTTTGTTATATCGGAAAATGCGATTAAATCAAATATTATAGATTTGATTCATAGTACATATCCCGTTAAAAAATGAAAAAATACTCGTTACTTATATGTATATACATATGTATGATTTTATGTAAGTATATCTTCCATTTAATATAATTAAACTTTGTTCTATCCTTTTTTTTTAACTTTTTTTCTATCTCTTTGTATGAAATTTGAAAATTTTTAACATCTAAATGTATGTGATTCAAGATATAATATGACAAATATATTTTAATTAATCTTATTTCTTTTGCTAAGAATGAACAAAGTCTATACGAGCAAAATCTTAAAAATATATTATATTTTGCGAAATACATATATATATGCAATGAATGCTTAATACTATCTAATAAAGAAAGATTACAGTCTACTAAATGTGCGCTTTTTGAACAAATTGAATTACATTTATTAATTCTCAATTGGTAGACCGAAGATAGTTCACAAATGTTTGAATTAAATTAATCTAGCTTTATAGTATTTCATTTTATTTTTATGTGGCCAGGCAAGACTTTTATCGGTTTTGATCTCGCCTAACAACGAAATTCTCAATATTAAAAAACTTGTATGTGTATATACTTCAACATTTGTATTACATATAAGAAAGTATCTATTATAATAAGAGATTCTAATGTATATTTATTTTGAATAAATTTGAATATTATAAAAAAATATAATTTTAATGAAATGAATTTACTACACAAAGACAATTTACTACAAGGAAGAATATCGTATGTGATAGAGAAAATTTCAAATTTTTATATGTTGTTTAAATTAAGAAAATATGTATAATTTATTAACAATATAATATATTGTATAATATATTGTAAGATACCAAAAAAATGTAATAAATATTGAAATAAATAATGCAAAAATATATACAATATTTAGGCCTCTAAAAAAAAAATTTATTTTTTATTATGAATAAAATTTCATTATACACTTTCTTTGATTTACACGAAATATTCATTCTCCAAATTTTCATTTGATTAAAAATAGCTAAAAGAAAACATAAAAAAAAAGTCTTTGTATTTTGTACGTTGTAATTTCATATATTTATAAAAAAACAATAATAATTAAAGTTTAGAAAAAACAAATTTAATTTTTGTAATTTTATTAACTATTGTTTTTCAAAATGATCATAAAATTTTCTTTTCACCAAAAGAATTAACTAATCGAATGCATAAACTAATAAATCGAAATAATGTAATAAAAAACGATCAAATAAGAATTTTAAGCAATAATATAAAGCAATAATAATTTCATATAAAAGTATTATTTTGTAAATGATATGTACAAAAAGTTCGTGTAAGTCAAGAAATGAGTGTAATTATTTTTCATTTCTTATTCGTTTACAAAAATTATTATATTTATAATATTTTTTTTTTTAATAAATACTTGAAAAAAAGACGATTGTTTAGTATTAAATTATTTATGGATTCTCTATTTATTCAATATTTTAATATTTTTCATGAAAACGTAAAATCCATTTCATTATGTAAAATTATTTTTTCCTACCAGATCATAATTAAAAATACAACTTAATTTTATATATTTGTATTTACACTAAGGAACATATAGATACGATTATTTTTAAATTGTGGCAATTTTCTTTTTGAGGAAGTTTATAATTGTAGTTGAGGAAATAAAAGTTGTTTTTTTTTAATGCATTATCCATTAAAAGAGGCCGAATAAATATACAATTGTTATAAAATAATAATAGCGTAATATAAAATACACAAGGAATAAATATAATGAATTTACAAATAAATACTTATTATTACAATTAAACCTATATATATATAGGTATTAATCTAAAAAAAGATAAGAGATATCCATAGAAACTAAATAACAATGTTACACAATATTAATTTATAAACCGCCATTTTCTATTTAGAGACTATAAAAAGAAAGTAATATCAATTATTCATAACAACTTCATAATTTAAATATATCGTATACATATAATATATAATATTTTTTTTTCCATATACTTACAGGATGTTAACATAAAGTTTTTTAAACAATCGATTCTACATATTAAACAAATACAAAAGTTAGTATGGAAAATGTTATATGGAAAAATTAATATGGAAATGTAGTTGAAGCTTATTTATTAAGATATCAGATAATTAAGATATTTAGAAGTTAGAACGAAACGAAATGGAAATAAGATAAGAATATTTCCGTTACACTATTGTCGCATTTTGTTTCCATCTTAATTGATTTAACGCTAACTTCAATTATAATGCATATATCTTAACCAATATTTTTATATATCTGTTTGTTTTAATTTTTAGAATCGATCCTTCAAAAATATTCCATGAACATATTAACACTCTGTACACGTATACATTGTAGATATTTGAAATACATATTTTTAAACCGATTGAAGATTAATTAAAATCAAGAATTAATTATGAAAAAAAATTAGCAGTTAATAGATTGAAAATTCAATAATTTTATTATTTTTATAGAAGTTTCAGAGAGAAAATAGAATATATTAATTGTAAAATTTCGATTTAGTAAAAGCTTATAAATTTTCTGAGTGAAGAAGAAGAAGGTGAAGAAAGAAGAGTAAATATGTATTTAATTCGTCATAGGCGAGAAGACAGTCAATCGACGAAGTTAATGATATAAATTTTTTCCGAGTCTTAGAATAAAGTTTGTTTTGCACGATTTGCGATGCAGGGTGTTTCGAAAATAGCTGTTTAATTTTTTGAATATATTGTGCATAATTAATAAAAACAAAAAATATAATACAAATATGAATTCAGATTTTTTTCTAAAATATAAGAAATGAATATATATATTAAAAAAAATAACACTATAAAAATTATGTTTAAAAATTGAAATAATTATTAAAAATATAAATAATTTCAATGGATTCAGTTCATATTCATTAATCTAAATCAATTTTTTTAAATAGAAATATTACTTTATGGAAATATATAGTTTATTTATATATAGTAGCAAGATATCTTTGTTGATAATATTGGATTTTTTCAACAATATGTGTTGAATCATTTGAAGATCACTATTTTTTAAACTAATATAAATAACAATGATACTTTTGTAACTAGAATATCTTTTATAACTGGATACTTTTATATCTAGAATAAATTAAATCAAAATTAAAAATATAATTAGCACTTTTTTTCATTGGATACTGCGATTTTTTTTCGAACGATTCTTTTTCCAACTCATGATATTCTCTATATGAAATTGTTTTATTTTCTATATGTGATTTTTTATATGAAATTTAATTTACTAAAATTACTTGTAAAAAAATAGATAAATAGATAAAATTATTAGAAAAGAAACAATTTTTAATATTATTTTTATACAATATTTTCGGAATATGAAATAATAAATATAAAAAAAAAATAAGTTTTGTATTTTTTATTTTTAATCTATTATTTTTGTAGCTGGATAATTTTCCGAAACACCCAAAAAGTTAAAGTTTAAATGAAAAATTCGATTGTAACAAGTGAAACGAACAGTTAAGGCTGTTCCGGTTCGCACTCGTTATGGCAGTGGTCGCTCAGAGTTTGATCACTAAGGCAGTTGAGCGCTATTCAAAGAAAAAAGAGCAAGAACTCCTGCAGAGGATCATTTTCAAGAACACACTCTCATTTGATAAGAAATTCATCCATATTTTTCCTAGCGTACGAGCTAAATATAGATAAAATAAATCTAATGTACTTCACATGCCAACATACACTTTTTCTTTTAATACACGAGGAAAAGTTATAAAAATAAAGAGATTCCATTAAATTTAAAAATTTCGTTTCCTAACCTAAATTTCATATTAGAATCTGTAATGCGTATCCCTCTAAATATTTTCAAATAAATCAAGTTTAAAAACTTTTAGTAAAGAGAATTTAATTAATTTCCAACGAGACACGAGTAATCTTTAATTTTTAACTTTTTCTCATACATTCGTATAACATTCATTTTCTTTTCGAAAAATTTTCTTCTTCGATTTTATTTTCAAGTGTATAGTAATCAACTAATGAACACTTCGACCTTCAATTGGAAGTCTATACAAATATGATTACAATTAATGTAATTTTTTCGTTCGACGAAGCCAGTGTTGTCGAATTATATTTAATAGAAACTATTGACAAGGTGTCAACTATTGACAACTATATACAAGGTGTCAAAGAAAGGAATATATGTACTTTGAGAATATACAGAATATACAAGAATAAGCAAAAATGTCATAATCAATATTTGAAGTGTTTCAATATTTCAATATTTCATATATATTTGTTATACATAAAAAATACCATAAACAGCATCTTTATTCTTTTAAAATTATATCAGCACGAAATAATTATTTAAATTTATAGTTTTCTATAATTTATTTTTCTTAATTTAATTTAATTTAATTTTTTTATTTGTCTACAATATTTTTTAATTTAATTATTTATAATAATTGAAGCAAATAATAATTAATTATATTTTCATGATATTTTTTCTATTTTATTATATTATTTTACTTTATAAGTATTTATTTAATAATATAGTAAATTTTTATATATTTTTATTCATTTTACTATTTTCTAAAAATATACAATTTTATATCAAATTTTTGAACCTGAAAATTTAATGAAAAAAATCAATCACTTCTAAATATTCTAAAAAATTATTACCCTTTCTTTAACACTTCGTATATATCTTCATTGAGATTATATTTTTGTCGATAGTATACAGATAATTTAAATTTATATTTTATAGATTCGATTATTAAGTTTAAGATAGTATTTTTTTTAATTGAATATCTTAACAACAAGTTTTAAAATTTATAAGAACAAGTTGCAATGAACGAGTTCTTGGCTATTTTATTCGGTGGTCCAACTGAAATCAAAATTAAAAAGAAAATATACATTCAGGAAATCTATTTTCATAGGTCTATTCGATGTCCTGATATCTGCACAATCAAATCGAATCTCAATTAAATGCATATTTCTGTTCCCTTTATAAAACTACATTTATCTAACTATGTAAATCACATTCGAAAAAATGTCTTTCGAAAGAATGTCCGTTAAATAATATTTACAAAGAACAAAAATGAATTTGAAAAAGTGAAAAAATTGAACAAAAATTCTGCTAGATTGATTTTAACAAATAACTAAATATATATTATAAATATAAAATAATAGCATCGTATAACGAATAAAAATTCAATAAATTTCCAATAAATTAAAGTCTTTACATTCTATTGATTATTACGTCGATAAATTATATCTTCGTCTTCGAATTAAAAACTTTAAATGATTAAATTAAATAAACCGAAACACATAGGATACACAAAAAGGCAAGGCACTTGGAGACTTGCGCTTAGCCGAGTATAATATCCCGTCTCGAGTTCCGAAGAGCAAGTCCCTGCGCCATCGATGTCCTCTTACTTATTTCCACATGGATCAACTATTTATAGAGTCGTTACGAATTTTCACTCTCAGCTATTCTCTGATGCGTGTCCTCAAACGGATCTTCTTTTTTATTTCCTCTCTTTTTTTTTTAACCAAGATTTAACAGTTCTTAGGCAGATACTTCTTGGAAGTTTCCTCATTCATTTTCCTTGAATAAAATCTTCTGACTCTTTCAGGCTTTTATTGTGGTCCTAATCA